GGTGCAAAGGATTATGTGCCCATGCCTTACGAAAACTTCCTTCTGTTTTCCAAATTTTGGTAATGTCGCTGAAAATGAAAATTCAGTGCACAGCCGCCATTTTGAGCCTTTTTTCACGAAATACTTTATAATGATCCAAATTCCTGTTGATGGGGTGTGATACCTCACGAATAATTCCCTTTTGTTTTCCAATTTTTGATAAATTCATATGAAATCGAAATTAATTGCTCAGCCCGCAATTTTAGGTAATACTTTATAATGATCCAAATTCCTGTTGATGGGGTGTGATACCTCACGAATAATTCCCTTTTGTTTTCCAATTTTTGATAAATTCATATGAAATCGAAATTAAGTGCTCAGCCCGCAATTTTAGGTGTTTGTTTCTTGAATTATTGCTTCCTGGTCCGAAGTCGTGTTGATGGGGTGTGATACATTTGCCGCCTCCCCTTTTTTTTTTATCCAATATCATAAAAATTCATGAGTCATTGAATTTAAGTGCGCAGCCGCAATTCCACGTGTTTATTCTGAAATACTGTTTTATGATCCGACGCCCTGTTAATGAGGTGATTTACCTTACGAATAGTTCCCTTTGTTTTCCAAATTTTCGATAAATCCACATGCAATTAAAATTGAGTGCACGGCCACAATTGTAGGTGTTTGTGTATGAAATACTGTTTTATGTATCCGAAGCCCTTTCAAGGAGGTGTTGAACCTTGCGAATAATCCTCTTTGTTTTTCCAATTCTCGAAAATGTCGTAGGAAATCGAAATAGAATGCACAGCCACATTTTTTGTTTTTGTATATGTAGTACTTTTTTCTGATCCGAAGTCCTGTTGATGGGGTGTGATACATTAAGAACAATTATCTGTGTTTTCCGATTCTCGAAAATTGATAAGAAATCAAAATTGATTGCACAGACGCAATTTATGGATTTTGTGTCTGAAATGCTGTTTAATGGTTTGAATTCCGATTAATGAGGTGTTATACCTTACTAATAATTTCCTTGGTTTTCCAATTTTCGAAAAATTCATAAGGAAATTAAAATTGAGTGTCCCCTGCAAATCCGCAATTTTAGGCTTTTTTTCCCTCTGAAATGCTGTCTTGTGGCGCAAAATCCTCTTAATGGAGTGTTATATCTTACGAATAATTCTCTTCGTTTTCCGATTTTCGAAACATTCCTAAGAAATTAAAATTGATTGCCCTCTGCAAAGCCGCAATTTTGGGTTTTTTTCATCTGAAATGCGATTTAATGGTGCGATATCCTGTTAATGAGGTATTATATCTTACGGATAATTTTCATTGTTTTCCAATTTTCGAAGAATTCCTAGGAAATCAAAATCGAAAGCACTTTCGCAATTTTAGGTTTTCGTATCTGAAATCCTGCATTATGACCCGAAGTCCTATTTTTCGGGGCATTATACCTTGCGAATACTTCCCCTTGAATTTTTAAATTTCCGAAAAATTCCTCGATAAATAAATTCGATTTGCACCGCCGCAATGTTAGGTTCTAGTTTTTGAAATAATGTTTCCTAAAGCGAATTTTTTGTTATCGTGGTCATGCCTCACGAAAACTGTCTTCTGTCTCCAATTTTCTGGGAAATGAAAATTGATTCATCAAGAGTCGCAATTTTTGGGTTTTCTCATGTCCTTTTAAAGAAAACTCACCGATGGCAAAACAGGAAAATCTCATCTAGAAAACGTATCGTACTTGAAGCTCAATTTAACTGAACTATTTTTTCACGCAAATCGTATATTACTGTCGCGATGTATGCAAAATTATTGTTCTGGATAGAAACACATATCTTAATTTTTAAAAATAATATCTTCTCTCCTCAAGGGGTAATGCTAGACTATGTCGCCCAATTATGATTTAACAGCGAAGCAGATGGTGGAATGGTACACATTATTATTCTTTTTTCCCGAACTGTTTGACCTTGGGTCTGCATTTAACGCTCAGAATAATAATTAAGGTATTATGAGAAGCATATCAAGTGCTGTAATGCATGGATGAAGTAGAAACGTTTTCTTTTTCTCAACTTTTGAAGAAGCGCATCTTTGAGGGTGTTGCGAGAAAATAGCCAGAAAAGTTTATAAAGAAATTGTTTATCTCTGTGCTGAATTTTATTTTTGTTCAGATTAGGAAAAAAAGATTTCATTAAAATTTTAAAAATAAGAATCCAAAAGCTCGTTCATGCGATCAAACGTTGTCGAAACCATGTTTTCACGCATTATTCGTGTTATCCTCGGGAATTTCAGGCGGTGGTAATCGATGTCGACTCTTTTGAAGTCTCATCGCAATTTTCAGGTGGCAGGAAACCAGTTATTAATACAATATCTGTAAATAACATTTTATACAGTGAGACCCCCAGATGCGGACATACTTGGTGCATCAAGAGTGTCCCTAAGTTGAGTCTTGTTTTCCCATAGACTTGAATTACAGTATATAATTTTCAATTTTTGTTTAATGGAAGAAATATTCTTCGGAATTCCATGAAAAAAATTGTTTTGCCACTTGAATTTGATTAAGTGAATATCTTTTCAACCCAATAAGAACATTTGGAGCATTGAATAGNATATAATTTTCAATTTTTGTTTAATGGAAGAAATATTCTTCGGAATTCCATGAAAAAAATTGTTTTGCCACTTGAATTTGATTAAGTGAATATCTTTTCAACCCAATAAGAACATTAGGAGCATTGAATAGTATACCACTGTACAGTTCATTGAAATGTTGGCATCTGTAAAAATAACATCTGAGTCACAAACAGAGAAGGAAGTCCCTCTATGCTATAGGTAGTTTTTTTTTAATTATCTGAATGGACGGGGAAGTGATGGGAAAATTACCAAAGAATTTTTCTTGCTTACATCTTGAGGTTGGAAATATTTGTTTCTTGCAATTAAGCCTAATAAAAGTCAATTTTCCTTGAAATTAATTGGCAATTTTATCATGCAATGTCCTCGTGTCAAGTCAGTGTCCATCTGTCGGGCGTTTTTATGATTTTTTATTGAAAAATAAATATCCCCATGTCGAGGTGTCCGCATGTGGGGGTCTCACTTTACATTGATTCCTAATATCTATAATAAAATTTTTTTCAACTGATGAATCCCTGTTAAGAGTGAGAGTTCTCTTCTCTCATAAGCTTGAGATTTAAACTCCGTGCGGTATCTTTTTTGTTTTTTGAATGCTTGTATAAACCCATTTTTACGACTTAATTTCAGTTTGAAGATCGCAAATGACGAACAAAACAAATGAAAAAAATGTGTTAATGCTTCGCATTTCGAAACAACGTCTTTTCTGGTTGGAAGATAGCAAATAGCGAGAGAGAGAAAAAAACGAGTGGAAAAAGGGGTTATACGAAGTTATATCAAGACTGCTGTACTTCTTTTCTAGTTGAACGATCACAAATAGCAAACAAGACGAATGAAAAAAAAATTATTATTGGAATTACAGTACAGTATTTCAATACTTTTTTATTTATTCTAACACCAAATTTAGTATTTCCGAGTAACGGCTTTGTCGGTATTATAGTATGTCCCTTCACAGCGTGTCATTTGAAAACCGACTACGACAAGGTCCGAGGTTTTTTTTACTTTTTCTATGTTTATCGGTTCTAATTACCATTCCATGAACGTTCCTTGGGGTGTAACCTTTCATGTCGTCTTGGTGGACGAGATCGCAGCGATAAAAAGCGTTTCCGTGCTGACTCGCATCTTTTTCTTGGGCTCCTCAAACAGAAAGAACGAACTTCTCGAACGTTGAATATTCCCCGTTGTCAATTCGCACTCAATCCGAATAGAACATGGGGCAAAGTGACGTGAAAGAACCTTTTAAGGTTGCTACATTGTATTACGTTTCAATGAAATGCGTGTAAGTAAGGGATGTCAATGACAAACGGTCTGGCTTGAAGATATATATCTTCAACGTTTGTTCGCGTCAGATTTCCTTGGATTTGATTCCAGAGCGGGTCCAAAAAAAATTTCGATTTTTTGGTAATTGCAAAGCTTCTCAGTCAGGAAGAATTCAGGAAATTTCGGTCGAAAGAATTATCGTACGCATGCAAAAAGACGGATGGTCATCGTAGTTTCGAAAGGAGAAAATCGTGTTAATTCTGTAAAATGTAGTTGTTTTTTTTTTCTTGTTGATATCGTCCTCTTCAAATCACAATCTCAGTGATCTTGTGAACGTAACTAAATCACATTTCGGGTTAGCATCGAGTCAGAATCATAAAATTCCTCGAAGTAATAGAAATTGTTCAAGTCTGATGACGGGGTAACTTTTTTTATAGTGCGAGTTTTTTTTTTCTGCAATTGCTCTTTCGTTTGTTTTTCTTTCAATGAGTCATCTATCACGAAAAAAAATCGAGGAAAATATGATCTTGAAGGATTTGTTACAAGTTCACGCGGAATTATACACGTTCATCGCAGCTCATGGATAAAAAACGATCATTAAAAGTCATGAAACCGGGACGGCGAATTATTAATGGCTGATCAATGCCATGCTTATGGCACCTGCAATATATTTAATCCTGTAATTTCCCGAGTTCCTTTTTACAAAATTATCTCCACTGTTTACACGTGCCTTTTGAAGGAAATTCTCTTTACAGCGAAGACATTAAAAGTCTTCGTTATGAGAATAAAATCGTTTTAGAGAAATTTCAAAAAGGTTGTTTCTATTGGGAAGGAACCTGAAGACGAATTGGTTGTAAACAATGATTCGTTGTGACAAGATTCGTCATGATGAGATTCTAATGAACACTCGAATACCGGTTTAGGGCCACCATTCGTCTCGGGACATTTTCTGGCACTAAATCGGGGGTGCAGTAAAAAGATGATAATTTTCTGAAATTTGCCATTGTAGAGAAAAAAATGCTTTTGGTATGATTGTTTCATTGATTCTAATCTAATGGGGAGTATGCTGTACAAAAGTGAGACCCCGAGATGCGGACGTAATTGGTGCATCAAGAGTGTCTCTAAGTTGAGTCTCATTTTCCCTTAGACTTACATTATATAATTTTTGGTGTGGAGGTTCATGATTGCTGAGGCTGACGGCTTGACTTGATGGCTGCGAACAACCGCATGTGCTCCTCTCTTGCGGCTTGCACTTCCGGTGTTTCTTGTACTGGTGTCGGCAGAGCCTGGTAATAAAAATAATAAAAATAATAATGATAATAATAATTACAGGAAACACATTTTGTTGGTTTAGCAGTCGTTGCAGATTCCGTGAGAACAATCTATCTGGATTTCGGGCTGCTTGAAGTTTGGAAGTCATTCCGTGCTGAATCAGAATGGGGAGTTTTCGAGTTGGGGAAACACGCATTTTTGTTGGGGGGGAAATCACGAAAAAAAAAATTGCAGGGAATTGTAATTGGCGATATTCTGGACCTTTAATTGCTTCTTTATGAGTTTTCTGTACTGTATGCTGAACTTGAAGGTAAGGGTTTATTTGCCCAATTAGTTTCAAATTCCTCTCGAAACGCATAAAGTTACATTTTGATGCGTTCCTCAATTAAGCTCAGAGACTTTATTCCTCTTGGTTATTTTTTTTTTTCATTTTTGAAAACCATATACAGTACTGTACTGTAACTTGCTGACCAGTGATTCTCTTTTATACTTTCTAATGGGCTCCTCACTTCGGAAAATGTTCGGTCTTTTTTTATCACTCGTTTCCGCTTGTATGCGAAGCCTAACTCAAGAATTAAAAAAAATTAATTTCGAAATTAGCCAACTCAATGAATAATTTTCCTTTTCCGTTCTCATGAGGAGGAAAAATATTTTTCTTCGCGGGCTTTCAAAGAGAGCGAGGGAGCATTTCTACTTAGTATCTGATGTGCGTTTTATTCTCTCGTAACTGTCGTGGGGGATCTTGCAGGGACCAATCGGATGAATGCTTGAAAGGTATTTTAGGAATTTTTATAAAAAAAAAAGGGGGAAGACGAAATGGGAAATTCTTTTCAAGAATTGCTGATGGGGGGAAATCGCTTACGGCCTGGGCGTGAAGCGGGATGTCGCCGTTGGCATCCGGCAGTGCGTTTGAAATGACGCGGAATCCCGCAGCATCGGCCACGTACAAAACGTGGATTGGGTGTCCTTCTGGCGAGATGTACGAGTACGACCTGTTTTAATAATAAAGATAAAAAACACTGAATTAAGTCATGCAGAATCTGACTTTCTTTTCTTGATCGTAACTGTTTTTTTTTTCTTGTGTAAAAAAAAATTATAAACATTGAATCAAGTCATGAAGAATCTGACTTTCTTTTCTTGATCGTACTTGTTTTTTCTTGTGTCAAATAATAATAATAATAATAAACATTAAATTGAGTCATGAAGAATCTCACTTTCTTTTCTTGACTCTACCTTTTTTTTCTTGTGTCAAATAATAACAATAATAATCTCTAACATGAAATTGAGTCATGAAGAATCTGACTTTCTTTTCTTGATCGTACCTGCTGTTTTTTCTTTTGTAAAAAAAATAATAATGATAATAAGCATTGAATTAAGTCGTGAAGAATCTGACTTTCTTTTCTTGATCTCCCCTGTTTTTTCTTGTGTGAAAAAATAATGATAAACATTAAATTAAGTCATGAAGAATCTGACTTTTTTTCTTGATCGTACCTGTTTTTTGTGTCAAAAATAATTACATGGATCAATTCCTGAAGAATTTGTATTTCTTTTTTTTTAGAATCTGACTTTTTTTCTTGATCGTACCTGTTTTTTGTGTCAAAAATAATTACATGGATCAATTCATGAAGAATTTGTATTTCTTTTTTTTGATCGGAACATTTTTACGCGAATGCGTATTTTTTGTCAAATTTTTACATGGCATCAAGTCATGAAGAGCCTGTCCTTCTTTTCCTGATTTTGACAAATTTCTGAAGCAAATAGGGGGGTTGTCCCACTTTCTAGCATCGTTGAATATCTCTGACGTTGTTGAGATTGGAAAATTTTGCCTTTTTATCAATTACAAGAAAGCTGATCATTCAGGCATTTGGGAAAAATTCCTAGATATGAGAAGCTCAGTGTTCTACACAAGAACACAATTTCAATTGTCGAACTCTCATGACAAATTTGTATTGCCCAGGGAAACTCGGACATTTTTGTAGCCAGGAAGTCTTTAAATTCCATTGTGTAGTTTGGAAAAAAAAAGCTTGAAAGTCTGAAAGAATAGCAAATGCGTAGAAGATCATGTGGGAAATTTTTAAATTTCTCACATTTTCAACATTTTTGAAAATATCCAATTTTTGTGCGAAAGTGGGAAACCCCTCGTGTGAGACATAATTAATTTTCAAGATGCGCCTCGATTTTTTGTGATGGAATTTCGCTCGCGAATTTTGGATGCGTTTTCACTGCGTTATAATTCTTTTGAATCTAAGAAGTCCGTGGATTTACTCATGCTTGATTTTCTGGCGCACATCCAAATTTAAATCGAGATTCTGACCTTTGTTCCGATGAACAGATAATAGTGGGGATGATCTGTTAATTTTTCTTTTAAAAATAATTTATTTCAGTAGCAATCGTCACTTGCGGATATTACATAACATAACTTTCAATAAATCATATTTTGATTTACGCGCACTGATCAATTTAATTTGAAGTTCGATCAGTAGTTTCAAGTAAAAAAAAAAATATATCCGTCCACTTTTCGCTCATGATTTCTCTTGGTTTTCTTGATCATACCGAACATCGATTTGAAGAAGCCCAGAGAAAATTGGGTGTTCGGTACTACAATTTTTTTTTTATTTCTGGGAAGCCTTGATTCTTCCGCGTCTTCTGTATATTCCTTGATTTTTTCCAAGTCGTATTCCAAATCTGCTATTAATCTAATATTACACGATCAAATTCGAATGACGATTCAAAAATTATTCGTCGAGGAAAATTATGTGAGACCCCCACATGCGGACACCTCGACATGAGGACAATTCGCTGTAGGGACATTAATTTTTCAATTTAAAAAAAGGCTCGACATACGGACACTGACTTGACATGAGGGCATGGCATGATAAAATTTGTCAATAAATTTCACAAAAATTGACTTTCATTCGGCTTGATTGCAAGAAACCGATATTTCCAACCTTAAGATTTATACAAGAAAAATTCTTCGTCATTTCTCCCATCATTTTCCATCCATTCAGCTAATGAAAAAAATTACCTATTGCATAGAGGGACTTCCTTTTCTCTTTGTGACTAGAATGTTATTTTCATAGATGCCAACATTTCAATGTACAGTACAGAGATACACTATTTAATGCTCCAAATGTTCTTATTGAGTTGAAAAGATATTCACTGAATCAAATTCAAGTGGCAAACAATTTTTTATTTCATGGAATTGTATTTGCAGATGACTGAGTCAGAGATTGTAATTATGAAAGGTACGCCTCGCATGTTCATCACGTTTTCGGAAATATTGTAAACGAGAAAGCTTGAGCGAGCTCGGGCACGGCCACAGAGGTGTGACTTGCATGCAAATTCTTTCAGCAGCTGAGTCACTCTCAAACGTGTGAAAAAGGTATGCTACTCAGTCCTTCACACCCGACATAAACGAGAAAGCTTGAGCGAGCTCGGGCACGGCCACAGAGGTGTGACTTGCATGCAAATTCTTTCAGCAGCTGAGTCACTCTCAAACGTGTGAAAAAGGTATGCTACTCAGTCCTTCACACCCGACATGATGTCTTTGATGTGTGCATTGTTGTAAAAGATGTAAACTGGAGACATTGTATTGGAGCTGATGAACTAACACAGGCTAACTCCCTGACTCCTTACTTTTTCCCAACTTAATAAACCTTTGCTTCGTTAACTGTAAAACAGATGTCGAAGTTAAAACACGATAACTTTTTACAGCGAACAGGCTAATAACAATCAGTGGACCCTTTGCATGAACCTGGATAAGAACTTTAAAAAAAGAAGCTTCATTTAGTTTTGAGTAACTTTTGAGTAGATTTTCGTTTATTATTTATTTATTTTATAACTTTCCCGAGAACTACCGAAACTAAGCTTTCAAGTCGAAAAAATAAACGAATAGACCCCTCACGTATTCATTCCTCGTCAAGTGAAACGATTTTGAATGAATCAGTTGAAAAGACCCTCGAACTTTTCGTCGGTGGACACGCATTTCTTGACAAACCATCCTGATTTTTCTCGTGGAACATGCTTAGATCAAGTGGCATTCCACAGGTTGAAAAGGGTGGACTTTCAGACAAACTATTCTAAAGAAGAGATGACTTGGGAAATTGCGTGGAAACTGTTTTAGGGCATAGATGTAAAATGGGTCAAATTTTTTGCCGAACGCGGTAGTCGCACGAATTTTCGATTCATCAATATTCTGGCATGTGCAGTAAAATCGAGGGAAATTCTGAGTTGAGTTTTCCATCGAGTGTCTTAAGATTTACTCTTCTATGTCAAATGTTGATTTCCTAAATTTTGTGCAGAAGGAGTATATTCCATTAACGTTACCAAAGACTGAACGTTTATTAAACTGACGAATCTTGGAAATGAAATACAACGCAGTAACCCAGTTCAATCATCATGAAGTGATAAGAAAAAATTTAGCCTCAGTAAAACTTCCTTGAATTCAGGCGCCATCTATGCAAGAGAGAAAAAAGTGGGGTGGGACGCCATCCATTCGAATGAAGAAGAAACAAAACATTTTGGTTCTTCTAATATTACGTCTTTAGAAAATGTATTACAGCTTTAGGTGTCATCTGAATCAATCACAATCCTAACTGAATACTGAAGCTAAGCTACTCGGATGTCACTTAATGTAATTCGGCCTGAAATGTATTTGCAATTGTATCACAAAATGTCCCTATGTTGAGTCAGTGTCCTCATGTTGGGCCTTTTTTATTAATTTTTCATGATAAAGTAACTGTCCGCATGTGGGGTTCTCACTGTATTTCAAGCAAACTCAAGCATAACCAAGCGCACACATGTTGACTTTGACTAAACTGAACTCATCAGGATCAACCTAATATATGTTCTATGGTAATCAACCAAACCTGAGCCTATTGAAATGAAATGAACTTGTCGTAGTCAACATCGATGCAGCATATCATAGAAAGCCGATCGGACAATTATATTTTGAGCAGTAAAATTGAGGCGACATCTATGTGGTGACTAGTGAACATACTGGCGTTTCGGTCATCGTGCGTTGCTTCGCAAGGGGGAAAAAAACATTGCTGACCTGTTGAACTGGCATCTTAAGATTCATCGAGGATAAAATAAAAGTTGACCTTCATTTTTTTTAAATTTTTTTAAATGAGAATCTCACCCCGTGACGCCGCCGTTGGCGTCCCTGATGGAAGCGTGAGCCTGGCCCGGGTGTGCGTACCCGAAAGCGGCGTCCCCGACGTTACTCTGCGTGTGATACTGGGTCGCCAAGTAACCCTCGGCGTCTGCGTCGTTTGTTCCTTGGCGGTGTCCATGGTGTGGGGCACCGAACGACGCCAACGGCGCCGTGTGTGCGAATCCGTAACTGAATCCGGGTTTCGCGTTTGGGTTCGATTGCACGGGTGCCGATTCGCTGCCCGCTGACGCCGCCACTGCGAAAACGCCGTCGAGCGGCGCCGCGTTTGTCGGGGACAGGACGGTGAGGATCGTCAGGGTCGAGGCAACGACGGAAAATGCGTTCTTCAAAGA